CCTTTTGTATGAAACAAAAAGGGCTTCGATAGTGTAAAAGACAGATGGTTGCTGTGTCTAAACATGGTAACAATTTATCAACAAACAAAATCCGAACCAGGAGTAAAACAATATGGAAACTGTTACGTTTAAACAAATGCACATAACTGTAGATAATTGCTTCAGTGATTAAGGTAAAGTAATTATAATGATAAATACAATAGATGTTATAAGTATATGTAAATATTTCAGAATATTACACAACTTGCATTACAATATAAATGTAAAAGATTGCTGGTAATACAGCTATTTACTGAATATAAATAAGTAGTATAAAACAATATGCAAAAGAACTGAAGTGAAGTGAATAAGGATAGAGGATGTAAAATAGACTTATTTACTTACGCCTGTTACCTCTTATGGAGGAGCACAGGCTATTCACCAGAATTTTTCTATCGAACTCTGTCCTGAGTAACTACGATTACAGATCTTCTACAGTTACTATCGGTCCCAATTTCATCATATCACTTCACTCATTATGTTTCAACAAAGTTCAATAAAGTTACACATTTAAACTGCTGATTCCATTGTAAGACAAATGAATTATGTCACATAAATTTAGAATAAAATAAAATAATTATTGTAATATGTAATTTCTACTTGAACAAGTTTATAAGTGAAGTAAATCTGATGATGGTCAAAATGAATATAGATAATATAGGATGAGATAAATGAATTAAATTAAATGTTTGGTTGAACATAGAATCATCGGCCAACTTAAGATTTGGCGCAATCATCATTCGGTGCCATTTCCGATAATTGGAAATGGCTAAATTAGCAATCAATATTTTAAGCTGAGTTACAAAATTTTCTTCTCCTGATTCATACTACTGAGTAGTACGAATACTCTTCATAGTTCATTTGATCAAAGTAAATCGTTTATTCATTTTTTTAAAATTGTAATTTTAGACTTACAATTCTTCGCAGTCACATATCATATTTTGCTTTCTGATATTGGTGTTCTTGATAAGATGCTAGATACCAGAAATATATGACAAATTTGATATCATTTCATGTAGTGTCACAGCGAATTCATTCCAATTATTTCACTAATTTACCCTGATATATAACATTACTTGAGATTGAGTACATTTGAAATAATTTCTATAAATTCTACTAAGAGTTCGTGGTCAGTTTAATCAACTAGTTTATGGCTGATCACCCTCTCTCTATATATATCAATGTAATGAAAGAGTACTGAATTCAGAATTGAGAGATTTATTATTTAAGCATAAATAAGTACACCAGCAAGAAGGTACAAGTATTTATAAATGGTTATCTACGCAAGATACTAAACATCCATTGGGCGGATACCATCAGCAACAGCCTTCTCTGGGAGAGAAAAAACCAGCTTCCAGCTGAAGAAGAAATTAGGAAAAGACGATGGAAATGGATAGGACATACATTACGCAAATCGTCAAACTGCATTACGAGGTAAGCCCTAACTTGGAATCCTGAAGGGAAGCGGAAAAGAGGAAGGCCAAAGAACACATTACGTCGGACAATAGAAGCAGATATGAAGAGGATGAATAACAACTGGAAAGAGCTGGAAAGGACTGCCCAGGCTAGGGTTAGATGGAGAATGCTGGTGAGCGACCTATGCTCCTTCACGAGGAGTAACAGGCGTAAGTAAGTAAGTATAAATCACTAAGTGATTTCTATTTAAAACAATAAAAGAGAGAATATATATCGATCTATTGAAGTATTGTGTTGTATTGTGTTGCGTGCTACTTATATTGATATAAGTAGTATATAACGCGAGTCAGGAATATAATATCTGGCAGCAGAAGATTGAGAAGATTAGAAAAGGAAGAACAGAAATATAAAGCAATTAGTATAGAAATGCAAGGACAATGAGTATGGTTTTTCTATTTTACCAATGAACTCTGTAATTTTGTGCTAAATATAATATGGTTGTCCTCACCTATGTTCTCCTTCACTACAGTATTAATATTCCAAATATGTAACCGATATCTAAAATATCCAATCAGAATATATATTTTAAAAAATCGATTGACTGATTGATTGGTTTATTGATAGGTCAGTAATTAATAAGTGTTCTCTTTTTTCTTCTTATAATATATATATATATATAACTACTATTTCGTTATCCATCGAAATAGAATTCTGAAGACAGTCAATCAAATAGATTCTCTTATAATATCTAAACACTTTTCTTTACTCTGTATTATTTCGGTTTATATTCAACTGGATTAATTGAAGGAAAATAGACAATAGAAGTTTACATTACTAAATTACTTTTTAATAAAAAAAATCATGGAATTAATCAATCAATTATCCTTAAAACAGAACACTACAAATTCACTCAATGTATTCAATAATAATCAATCAATCAATGTAAAAGTTCAAAGAAAATGGACTATGAAATCTTTGGTAATTATATAGATATACATAGAGTATTTTATCAGAAGAGGTTTTGTGGAGAGTTTAGTAATTGTATTAGTTGAAATCATGAGTCAATTGAGGCTAAGTGATAGGTTCGAATCTCGCTGGAGGGGGGGGGAGTTCGTTTGTGTGCACTGCTGAGGAGTCCCATACTAGGACGAAATGGCTGTTCAGTGCTTCTACATTTTCCATGGTTGTATAGCTTCACTTGACTTATGATTTCAACTATTCATATAGTATTTTATTAAGTTAAGTTGATTTTTTTTGTGAAGAATAATCTAAATCAAAGGTAGTTTTCCTTATAAATCATCTAATTACGTGGTGTTGTATTACTTGTATCTTCCTATTGTTATTTAAGACTTCAATTGATCAGTCTTACCCAATTGCACAAGCAAATGGCTATTAGGGCTCAGTAGCTAAGTGGATAACGCCATGACGTTTGAAGCGAAAGATACTGGATTCGATTCCCGGAACGAACATTAACTCTGAGATGCAAATACATCCAGCTGACGAAACGTGCAACAAATTGGATTTCACTGCTAGCCACTATCCATTTTCGTTTAATCACGCTTTATGTTTAACTAATTAAAGTTGCAGAACTTGATATCAATGCAGTTAGGCTCAATGATCTTGATTATTACAAAACTTAATAGCCTAGGAATTGATTTCATGTGAGCTTTGTGCGTATACTGATGATAAATGTAAAGTAATTTTGTACCTGTGGTTAATTCGCAGCAAAATACTCTTTTCTCATTTATTTTTATTGGAACGGGATCGCGAATACGCACCGCTGAGGAGTCCCACAATAGGACGAAATGGCCGTACAGTGCTTACACGTTTTCAATATGAATTTCGTATTTTTGCACCAAAGGCGCTCATTTTCACCTTCATGTCGTATTTCCCAATTGGGAAAATCTTAAACGCTATTGTTTTGTTGTATCTTTTCGTATACTATTTTGTAACGCTTACCAAGGTCAATTTTATGTTGTATATGTACATTTTATTTGTGACTATCGTGATTGCTGCTTGGGTAATATATTTCCCCATTTTTAAACTTGGAAGCATCAGAATAACTAGCTTATTGGTCTTTTGTTACAGAGTCATTATTCTGTTCACAGGCTAGGTGAACTTGTAATCGCTTCAAACAAAGCAATATATTGCTGGTCTTCAGAATAAGGTATAAAAGTATCAATTTTCGAATGTTAACATTATTATATAATTTTGTAAACAATATGAACCAAATAGGAAATGATAAAGATTGTTTAGTGACTTTGAAGATAGTTCATAGTTTCTATTACTGTTTATTATTATTCGAATTCATAGTATCCAATACTCATATTGTCCCTTTTTAATTTGTTTGCATTTTTGTTTACAAGTGATTAAATAGATGAAATTTCAATGATTAATTTTATAATTAATTTTGTAAATTAGTATGAGAAATTAGGATTAGGATTTACGGTTGGAATCTAGGGTTAGAAATTAAAATAGGGTTTTCATCATGAGCTAACATCAACCATAATGACAAATGCTATTTAGCCATATGGATAAATGAATTCCGTTCCAAAATATGAGATCTGCGATCTTAAATCTGATGTGTTTGTTCATAAATCAGGTGCTGGGTTCGAATCCCACGTAACTGGATAGTGGATGCGCATTGTTGAGAAGTCCCACAGTAGAATGACCGTTTAGCGCTTTCAAGTTTTCCATGATGGTTTAACTTCAATTGACTCATGATCTCAGCTATTAAAATTACTATATCATCCACAAAACCCCTTCAGATCATAAATTATAGTTTCGCCCAAATAATTCATGTTTTTCGTAGATAAAACTCAGAGATGTAAGAACATGAACCATTATATGCGCAAGCAATTTGAAGTAGTTTATCTCGATTACCACAGAATATAAATGTTGGTGAGACCTTTGAGCGACGCTATAGGGATCCAGAGAATGTTTACCAACATACTACGGCTAAATGAGGGTTATAAACCAGATTAAAGAATTAGGATTAATATCTACAGTTGATACTTAGGGTTAGGAATCTTATATAGGGTTTTCATCACGAACTAACATCAGTTATAATGCCAAAACTCTATTTACTCGAATGGATGAGTGAATTTTGCGCCGAAATTCAAGAGCTGTTATCATAAATCTGATTGGATTGTCTATAATTTATAGTCTCTTCGAAGTGCTTATATATCATTATGAAAGTAGTTTATTCTATCCAACTAATATATTCACATAAACTATGATGAAAATTTTAGCTATAAAATATTTTCTACTTGTACTATTAAGTAGTTAATAAAGTTCATAAACATTTTCCAGCCTTAAAATAGAATTCAGATGACGATACTTCAGAGGCACTAATTGCTTTATATACTATAATTCTTTCTAAAGTAAGAAGTTTTAATATTTTGTTGTAAATACAACTTTAAATGAAACAAAGAATGAAAAGTAATTATTAGGGCCGAAAAATTAATTATCAAACTACTTATCAGTACATCATAGTTGATTATTATTTACAGTACGTGAATACTAGTGCTAACTTAGTTTCGTCCATGAATGTATCTGAAGAGAACTGTGAAGGATTCATGCATGTAAACACACCTTGAAGCTTTCGAGTTGTTGATGGATGTTAATCCAGGCAGAAAATAGATTTAGTCAAGAAATAAGATATTCAGGGAAACTATCGGAAGCAAGGACTCACTAAACAACCATTCCATTCTAGATCCACTTGGTATTGTTTCCTTGAATCATCCCATTTATGTTTAAGACTGCAATTGATCAGTCTCTGATAAGCATATGTGCATCCGGAGCGTATTCTCTCTATACTGCCTTAATTCACAAGCATTCTAAGCAAATATGGATAGTGGGTAGCCATGGAATACAGTTTGACGCATGATTCTTCCTATTCGGGACTCGTCAGTTGGATGTGCCTGAATCTCAGATCTGGTGTTCTCCCTGGACTCAAACCCAGTACCATCCACTTTAAACACCATCGCGTTATCCACTTAGCTATTGAGTCCTGATAGCTACTTGCTTGTGCAATGGAGTGTTGTTTAGATTCACTTGGTATTGTTTACTACTAACGATGGAGTTATTCAACATTATTTGGATAACTTGATGAACTCATTAAATATAAGCCACTAAGTAAGAATCAAAAGATTCATATTTTTAACTTCAGTTTTGTATAAAAAACATTCAGGTAGCATTCAGCCATCTCAATTGGTTAGGCTTCACCAGTCACAATTTTAGAAAAGGACTTCAACACTCTCCTATATTCATTCATAAGTAGGCAACAATTTTAAGATAGTTATTATCCTTGGACCTCAGTTTCATGAGAGTTGATACTTAACAATAAGGTATCCTATGAAGGAGTTTCGTTCTCTAAGCTGGATGGTTCAGTCATAAGGCTTTGATTGTTCTTCTGAACAATATCAACACATAATTCAGGCAGCAGTAACGTACCTAAAGTTTGCGCTGATAAAATTCTATAAAAGATCAGTGAAGGCTCTGAGACTAAACCGTCTAGCTCAGGGAACAAAACTCCACCAAACTTGTCTATCTGAGCTACAAAACTTCTCTATCATCTCATTAAGATGGTTATGATCGTATAGGGAACTTACTTACTTACTTACGCTTGTTACTCCCAATAGAGCATAGACAATTGACCAGCATTCTCCAACCCACTCTGTCCTGGGCCTTCCTGTCATGTTCTATGCAATTGCTGTTCATTCTTCTCATGTTTCTCTCCATTTGCTTCTTTGATCTTCCTCTTCTTCTTTGGCCTTGAGGATTCCAAATGAGAGCTTGTCTTGTGACGCAATTGAGTGATTTCCTCATGTGTGTCCTATCCACTTAGAGTACTTCTTCCTGATTTCTTCCTCCACTGTGATCTGGTTTGTTCTCTTCCACAGTAAGTTGTTGCTCATAATGTCTCGCCAACGGATTCGAAGTATTTTGCGTAGACAACTGTTAATAAACACTTGCATTTTTTGGATGATGGCTTTCCTAGTTCTTCGAGTTTCCACGCCATACAGTAGAACAGTCTCGACATTTATATTGAAAATTCTGACCTTGGTGTTGATTGACAGTTGTTTTGAGTTCCAGATGTTCTTCATTTGTAAATATGCTGCTCTTGTTTTATCGATCCGCGTCTTCACATTTGCATCAGATCCACTGTGTTCATCAATGATACTGCCCAGATATGTAAAGGTTTTTAGAACTCTGCTTGAAGCCTACTGGCGGAGTTCAAAACCTTTCTATAATCTCTTATCTCTATACTTTATCAACTACACAAACTAACCTCATCATCATTACTAATATTGTCCATACATTCAAGTATATATATATATATATATATATATATATATATATATATTTATAGAATATATTCAATCCTTTTCAATTATTTTTATTTGTACCATTCTCACTGAACAAAATTTATTTCTCTTATTTCTTGTTGTTGTTGCTGTTGTTAAATATTTATTACATTTTCTAGTTAAAAAAATCTAAACCAAAATCTGAATGGGATAAATATGCAATAATTGATCGATCGAATTGGTTCAAATCACAAATCACTGTAAGTTTTGTATCTATATGGTAACAATATTGAAAAAGGTTTATTTTTTCTTTTTTTTTTCATTTTCATTTAATTATTCAACAATGAATTTGTTACATTAGATTATAAAATTTTTATTTGAGTAACTTCTTACTCTTCTTCCTTTTTTCTTTTTTTTTGGTTTTTTTTCTTTTAATAATTCATAAAGTGTTTCTTTTCTTAATCATAAATACCAATGTCTATTACATTGATATATCTAAAAAAAAATTATTTTTTTTCGTTGGATTAAAAAAATTTTTAAAAACAAAATTGTCACCATCTACAAAATGTAAATAAAAGTAATTTGTATCAAGATTATTTTAACTATTTTAAGGTGGATTATAATGAAACGATGGAATAATGAATATTCCGTTTTATTTCTTTTTTAAGATCATGAATTTAATTAAAATTAATTAAATATATCTGTAAATCTAATTTGATTTGGAAATATATTTTATGCGAATTCAAAATATTGAATAATAATAGTAATAGTAATAACATGGATGAAATGAAGCTTAAAATTTTGAATGTACACCGCTGAAGAGTCCTACAATAGGGCGAAACCGCCGTTCAAGGTTTCTAGGTTTTTAATGGTTAGTCTAACATCAATCGGTGATTAATGATTTTAATCAAAAATTTAATACTCTCCACAAACCTAAACTGATTAAAACCTTTAATTCCTACAGACATTAATATACCTTTAGATTAATTTGTTCAAATAATAATAATAATAATCAGATTTGTTCTTATTCTTATTGACTATCGGATGATGATCAGTTAATTTAAAAGACAAATTTTGAATCATGTAAATTTTCATAAATTCACTTATAGATGAATCAAATATAGATTATAAGAATTCTATTTGTAAGCAAAGATTGAAAATATTACTTTAATTTGACAGTTGATTTGAAGAGTTAATTTAACTTAGACCACCACTATGGGAAACCTGGAAGCACTGAATGGTTGTTTCATCCTATGGTGGGACTCTTGATCATTGTACACCACCGATCCAGTCTAGCGAGATTCGAACTCAGGAGCTATCGATCTCGCGCACGAGCGCTTAATCACTAGATCACTGAACCGGCCGGCATCCAACGGTGTTAATGACTAACTTCAACTAATCCACGAATTTGTGCCACTGTCCACCATTTTTATCAGTGAGTTACTATCTCACAACACATCCGGTTGAACTTCACTGGTCACTGTTTTTCACCAGAACTCTAGGAAGTACCTCGTGGAGATCGTCACTACTGAGCGTTGATGATTGTAATCAGAGAAACGTTTTCTGGATATTATAGTAATTAAATAGTTGAATTCATGAGTCAATTTAAGCTAGACTACTATGACATATTATTTTATTATATGTGTTCAGACAAAAGAGTAACATTTAACAGTCTTAATGAATTTATGGTTGAAGATAAACAAGACAGACTTTAAATTCACTTGGTATTGTTTACTTGAATCTTCCGATTGATATTCACGAGTGCATTTGATCAGTCTCTTATTTGGCATATGAGCATATTGTACTTATTGCCTCGATATTGCCTATCGATATCGTTATCAGGACTCAGTAGCTAGGTGAATAACGCGATGGCATTTGAAACGAACGGTACCGGGTTCGAGCCCCAGAGTGAACATCAGATCTCCGATGCAGGTACATCCAGCTGACGAGCCTCAAATAGGACGAAACACGCGTCAAATTGGATTCCACTACTAGCCACTATCCATCTTTGCTTATACAACAGACTTTGTTCTTAGAATCCGAAGTTGCATATATTGTCTGTTCGATAAATACACAGATAGGATAGTTAAACTTTATCTTCTTTAAAGTGGTGAATAAGTGAAAGATTTATAGATAAAATTTTATGTAGAAACAAAGCCCAACCATTAAAAAAATATACGTAAATCACTGTTATTCTCTGTAGTAACCCTATTTTAAAATTGATCAAGAATAGTGCATCACAAAATTTCACATTTGAGGGTAGAAATTGATGTCATTGATGAATTAGTCAACGATCTAAGTATTGTATATCGAATAAAATTTATCAATTTAATCTAAGGTATCTACAAATTAAAATATGCAAGAATTCCCTTGAAATTTTGTTTACAGACACTGTCAAAGGAATAGTTATGCTTTGGTTTTCTAGAAAACCCTGAAAAACATTTCTCTATTATCTGTTAACCAATAAACGTAAATTAGATAGCAACAGAAACTTATCGTTTAAATTTAAATTTTATATCCTAAAAATTACATAGTGACAGAATCAACACACAAAAACTCAATTTAAGTTATTGTTTTGATCTAATTAAAGAATTGCATCTAGTTAGTAATAATGAACCGAATTTCTTTATTGATCTCTTCAAATTTTATTGCTGTTCAGAATAGTAGTCTATCTACTTTATTTAGAAGTGAACTTTTTAGTTGTTCTGCTAAAATTATACCATCTATTTCTGATAACTTTGTTAATAATTAATTGTTCTTGCAGTTTTTGTTGTTTTCATTAGTTCTTATATTCATGTTGACTATGTTTTTTTGGTCAACTTCCAATCTTCCAGTTGAAGGATCTCTCTTATAATTGATCGATACTTTGGATTTTATGTCTCTATGCTTAGTGATTGTCAATTGATTTGAATATCATGTTTGTTTGTTTTTGAAAATTCTGTAAGAATCATAAAGTTTCACATATCGAAAATTTCAACGTTTACCCCATCGATGCAAAGTAATTAAAAAACAAGATTATCAGAAATAATTCACTTACTAAATTTTTTTAAAACATGAATTAATATTGATTTCAATAGTTGAGATCATAAGTCAGTTGAAGCTAGACCACCATGATGGAAAACCTGGAAGTACTGGACGACTGTTTCGTCATAATATGAGACTTCTCAGCAGTACGCACCTATCATCCCGCCTGTGAGATTTGAACCCAGAAGCTATAGGTCTCATGCATGAACGCATAACCTCTAGACCACTGGGCCAACATCCAACGGTGTCGCGTACTAGGACGAAACGGCCGTTCAGTGCTTCCAGATTTTCCATGTTAGTCGAACTTAAATTGACTTATGATGTCAACTATCGAAATGACTAAAATATGAACAGAAACCCCCTCATGATATTTATTCATTAGTGATTTGGTTAATCAAGTTTTTTAATCATGTTTTTTATATATTAAGTAAAGTAATAAATAAAACTCTTTATACTTTTGATATTCTTTAAGAATGTTTCATTTAATCTTTTGAACTATGACTAATGATTTACATAACTCAAAACTGGAATAATAGACAATATTGTTTAAAATTATGCATTGAATATGACCGAGTAGCGTTTATGAATGTTGGTGAGACTGTAATTTGTGGACGAGCCAATCAGAAGCGTTTGAGGGATTTCAAGGTTACAGTGCAAATTTCAGTACCAGATGCTAACGTACGATCGGTTCACAGCAGATTTCAGACAAAACGTGATAATTGAGCGGCTATAACAAATGGGACTACTAAGATGTTCCTTTATTTGTGATTGTGGTAACCAAATGACTTATGGATCCTGTCCAGACTACCGTGATGATGTTGCCTTTTGATGTAATATGTATTATAGGAAGAAATCTGGTACGATAGGATTTTTTCACTTGATCCAAAGTGAAAGTAAGGCGAGTTATTACAATTGTTGCGAAACGGGTAATAATAGCACCAGTAACTAGTTGCAGCCAGGTACTACAATATATACGGATGATTGAAGGGCGTACAGACACCTTCATAGACTTGGTTATGTGCATCGTGTAGTTATCCACAAGTGGCATTTGGTGAACCCAACAACCGGGGTGCACACAAACAATATCTAAGCTATGTGGTAGAGGATGAAAGAGCTTTTGTGACCTTATCATGGCTCCGGAGGCCAACTGCTATGAAGCCGTATGGATGATTTCCTCTACCGTATGCATCACGATTTTAGGGCTTCTGAACCTTTTTCTAACCCTGACAAGTTTTTGAACCATGTAAAAGAAGTGTATTCACTTTAAATCTTTGGTTTTGTGTAATATATTTAGAATTCATGCAGTGTTTTGTGATTGGCTAGTATTCCTCAAAGTCACTTAACATTCATTCAAAGGTCATCCATAAATAATAGTCGCGTCAAAAAATTTATCCTACATTCTTTCTATCGGAAGTTTGGACTTTCATGATTCATAATTATATTTTTATGAACAGACAATATTGTGAAAATTATTCAGTAATGAATAGCTCATCAAATTATTATCAAAGTAAATACTCTCAGTAAAACAATGAAAATTTCCACTTACCTAATGAAACCTTTTAAAATGTTTGTAATTTAGAGTTCTCATATTCATTGGATTTTCCTTTCTCTTACTCTCATTTAAAGCCTGTTCAGTGAATATGCGAATTCTGAGTAACAATTAACTATGCAAAAAGCCGATGTAGTTGCCGTAGGATCATCACTAGGTTTACCTTGGCCAATATCTTCACAGCTAACCTAGGATAAACGAAAATAAAATACAAAATCCAGAAGAAAACATTCTTGTCCAGATGTGCTGATAATATTTTCATTATCTATGATGTTATGGATCATGCTACTCTTTTACTTAGTCCAAACATAACGTTTACAATGAAATATCAAAGAGATAACCAAATCGATTTTTTAGATCTTGATGTAAGGCGGAAATATGATGAAAGTCTTGAGAAAAGTATACATTGAAAAAAAATATGGACAGGACAGTATCCAAACTTCGACAGCGTTTGTGCTTCCAGTTAAGAAAGGTGTCTAGTCGAGACGTTCTTCAACAGAACCATGGTTAGGCGGTAAATTAAATGAGGAGTCGGGTATTTAGGAAGAGCATCTCATAAAAAATTGGATATCTAAAGTAAATTATTATGAAATCTATTAAAAACATCTCAAGGATGATAAACAACCAACCGTTGGAAGAAAATCTGTTCTCATCCACTTTCCATTCAAGGAAGATTAGATTTCAAGAAGAATCGATAGCATAGTCAATGCGGAACTGAAAACAAGCTTCCTTACATTTTTACTTGGTTTCATTGAATGACATCAGGTGTTCGTTGTATCATTCAAATGTAGATCAGTACCCTGCCCAGGTTACTTCCAAATGTGTCCACGAAATTACATGTAACTGAGATAGCAAGTTTGTAGGAATGACAGAAAGAAGGGCTTCTACAAGGTTTCCTCTACACAAAGAAAACTACATCTGAAAGGGCGTAAAGTCAAATACAACTACCAGTCAAATTTGGAATAGTAGACATGAAGTAATGCACTCAAAATAATTGACAGACAAAAAGCATCAATTTTACTCAGTTTGGCAGATGTAACCACTATCAGACATTTCCAACCTGACCTATGTATACAGAAGGAAAGTGTGATTAGGCTTCCCACGTCATGGTGATTGGATGTCTATCTAATAGTCTCTGTTTAAATAAAAACCTTATTTTACTAACTATTAGGTAGATCACATGCTTCTCTCTTCATAAAACTTTCCATTTATAGCAAAACACTGGCTACATCTTCGTTTTACTTATTCAAATAGTGATTGGAAGTTGTAAGAATTTGGGCTCTTCAACTAATTCATTTCACCTGCTCAATCAAAAGTGTTTTACTAGAATTCATTTGTAAAAGTTATTATAATCTAATTAATAGTATACAGGACAAAATTTTCATCCGTTTTTATGCACATATGTGAATTGTGAATAGATGGCTTGTAGTGTCGGTTACTATGTTCATCTGTGTCACATTTGACCTTATCAAACTTGACTGTTTTATATGAGCGTATGTGTGTGCACTTATCTTACTCATAACATGTTTGTAATTTATTTTCGTTCAGCTATAAATATCGATCAACGCTTAATTAAATCGAGTTAGCTTATACGCTCTCTCTACCGTGCGTCATTTCGATTGGCTCTCTTCTCTTTGCTTCGATTCTCCGATAGTTTGTCAAGACCAACGATTGTATGAAATATATATATTCAAAAATCCATTCTCCTACTTGAATTATTTTAATTCCGTTATTCATTAACCTGATTTAAGTCCATAATAATATACGAGAATAGTCAGGATGTATATTTCGACAGCAATCATTCAATAACGATCATTTTTCCACTCTAACTGGGGTCAGATCTTGGGCCACTAAAACATGCATCCCAGTATTGTTGTTCATGTTTCATTATGAATTCAATGCATATTGCTTCCAACACCCTTCCAGTTTCTGGATAGCCACCAACCTATTAAATTTTCATTTTTTTTTATGTTGAAGAGTTTATGTAAACTCAGTAGTTGGTATTCAGGAACAAATTCTGATCATGATTTTTTGGCATATGTGTATCTTTAACAAATCCCTACGTACAATTCCTTCGATTTTAACTGAACTCAAATAAGATGAAAAATGTAATAAATAATCTAATATCTATAGCATTCAGTAGCACGGGATCTGACTCCATTTGGATCGCATGATGATTACTATCGAGTTATCGAAATATACTTCTGGCTAGCCTCTTTATTTATTTATTTGAACATATAGATATTGGTGCAAGGGGGAACCGAATAGATATGCACCACATAAATCATTTGATTTGTGTGGCGGAAGGGATACTGCCCGTCTGCCCAAACCGAACCAGGTCGCTTTCTTAGGAGGCCACACACCAAGCCTTTGACCTAGAGGATTAGTCCACAAGACAGTGGAGCAATATCAGGCGATTCAGGCCCATGGTAGCTGGTGACTAACAACAGGTTCGTATGCCATTTGTTCCGTCAGTATCTTAGAGCCAGCTCACGTGCATCATTCGTTCGGCACCAGGGTTTTCCAACTTCTCTAGGTGTACCCTCCGAGTCCATCAACTCGGTTAGAGCCCCGAACATTCGGTTTTCGTCATCTTGATTTCGTAAACAACACCCGTGGTGCAAGGATGCAGTGAGTAGTACTTCCCTGGCAGAAGCTATATACGAATGGTCATGTGAAAACATTTCGAGAGGTAAGGCGGACTCTCCCTATTCTTGTCTGTACAAGTGAATTTGGGGGCGGCTACCCTCTTATATAAATGTCGACTTAACTCGCGTTAGTGAATAACGGAATTAAAATAAGTCAAGTAGGAGAATGGATTTTTGAATATATATATTTCATACAATCGTTGGTCTTGACAAACTATCGGAAGGACGGAGAGAAGAGAAGAGAGTGAAGCGAAATGACGCGCGGTGGAGAAGTCGTGTGAGCTAACTTGATTTAATTAAGCGTTGATCGATATTTATAGTCATATAAAAATACATTACAGACATGTGATGAATAAGATAAGAATTGTACACACGCTCATATAAAACAGTTATGTTTGATAAGTGAATAATTGACAAGTTCAAAATGTAGCTTGAGGAGAATGGATAAGTTGGTTTGTCCGGAAGCTAGAATAAGCTATGTAGGACCAGCCACTACAATGTACATCCAACTGATGAGTTGTGATAAGAACGAAATGTACGTTCTAGATTCCACTGTTAGTCAAAATCCAACTATATTATATGTTGTACTAGAACTTTTTTAAATATTTTTTCCAAAGTCAGTTTCTCAACAATTATCGAAACAATAAATGAGCGTTTGAAGAGTATAGAATATGGTATACTTTCGGTGTTTCTATCGACATAAGAAGTTGACAGTTTTCTCAGTAACATATCATCCTTGAAGTCATTACAAAGTACAAAGAGATGTTTCGGTTGCTTGAAAACCGGTATTATTTCTAAATAAAGCTCACAACAACTAATACATTGTCAAAGTTTTATCAAAATATTATTAACTCAATTTGAATTGTATCGGATAGACTATTTCTATAATCATTGTAATTTCCTTATAATCTCTATGAATCTAAAAGGTATACATACGTATTTGTAATTAATAGGCAGGATTTATTTTTATTTAAAGTCATTTCAATAGTTGAATTGTTTATGTAACCACATGAAATATGCTTCTCATTTAAGTAGAACAACATAAAAACACAATTTCATATTTAAGCAGAGATGAATGGTGGCTAGCAGTGGAATCCAAGACGCACGTTACGACCTATATTGAGATTCGTCAGATGTATGTACATGCATCTCGGAGTAAACATCAACTCTTGTGTCTTGGATTCCATTGCTAGCCACTATTCATCTTCCGTTTTAACACTTGAGATTTGAGGAAATATCGAGCCTATTCTCACAGGATGAACATATATCCTAATAAGAGACTGATCAGTCACAGTCCTAAACAACAATGGGAAGTTTCAAACAACCAATACAGAAATGAACTGAAACAATTCTGTGTATTATCAGAATGAGGATTAGTGGAGGTTGTAGTAATTTTAACAGTTGGGACCAAAGGTCCTGGGTTCGAGTCCCTTCGGTGCGGGATCGTGGATGCGCAACACTGAGGAGTCCCATAATAGAACGAAACGGCTGTCTAGTGTTTTCAGGTTTTCAATCATGGTCTAGCTTGAAACTACTACAGTCCCCACAAATCCCCGATCTTGTTTATCTTAAAATTTTCTGTTTTATTTGGTTTCGTTGTTTAACTGAGGCCAAACAATTTCGTAGTTTATCATTCTGGAATGCTGTTTGTTTTTGTAAAAGATGATTTATTCCCCATTAATTCTCAGAATAGTCCAAGTCCTACACGTTATGATATAAAACGACTAGTTGTCGTACGTCCGATTTCTTATGGTTTCAAGAATACTGGTCGAATGAGACAATGCTCAACATTTACTAATGATGGTTTATGGTTACTTCCCGGTGCCTATAACGTTAATGGAGTAGACGAAAAGTAGGCTGGCTTAATCTTTATAAAATATTTGTATTACTATTAAATTATTATTCTTTGTGAAGTTGTTTAAATTGTTAATAAATTTTGAGACGGGTCATCCCAAACTTCTATTTCTTATCATTTTAATTGTCACCACTGAGTGGCTGCTTTAAAACAAGAAATTTAATTGACTGGAAATAGTAATACTAGGTGTAAAATACCTATGAATTATGCATTTCACAGTTGGATATTTCTATATAGTTACGTGACTTGACACTAAAGAGAAAGTGATTGAGACCGCGAAATATCGATCAGTTGTTTATTCCTAGCTCATGAAACCAACTGGGAAATACGTGGTTGAATTTGAAGCGTCTACTGCTGTATTTTTACACTATCCTCCGATCTAGACACTGATATATAGGGTCCCTATATGCAAGCCAAACGCTTTATGTGAATGAGAAGACTGATAATGATTAAGAAGTTATAATTGACAGACCGAACATGTGTACACAAGTCATTCATATATATGTATATATGTATATATATATATATATATATATATATATATATATATATATATTCATGCATAAATTCTTTGAATTTATAAGTTATGAGTTGCATAATCGGCTTCGTCCGACAGCGTTCATTGTTTATCATCTCTCACCTAGCACTCGAATACAGGCACGTGAATTGTCTGGATTAGCCGAGCACATTGAAGTACTCACCATTAACTTTACAATATTGGTGTTCTTATGGTAAAGTTTTAAGTTAGATTCACTTTGGAAAAGTGTGCCCTTAAAGCAAGTACTCACTAATCCCTTGATTTTAGTGTAATTAGTCAAATGGAGAAAACACTGGTTTAAGATATGAATTAAGCATCACATAAACTATCTGGGAATCATTGAAATAAACTTATTACATAACTGGGAAACGAAAAACAAAACTATTAAAGGAATAAAAAATTTTCCCCTAGTATTATTTATGATATAACGGCGGAAAATTGTCACTTGCAATAGGGAAACCGAAATTTCTTGAGCTATTCAGAAGTAAATATGCCTGACGTCAGCGAGTAAAAAAGTGCAAAACAATAGGCTAATCACCATGCGAATAACTTGATCGTTAGGGTACTGGGGTTTATAGTGGTTCGAATCCCATAACAGAACATTATTTTTGTCAAGATTACAGGTTTGCTTCGATGATAATCAGTAAATATTGAGAATATCAAGCTTTTCAGTCGATTATGTTCAGGGCGGAAACTTGGAGAATTACGAAAGCCATCATCCAAAAATGCATGTGTTTATTAACAGTTGTCTACGCAAAATACCTAGGATCCGTTGGCGAGACATTATGAGCAACAACTTACTGTGGAAGAGAACAAACCAGATCACAGTGGAGGAAGAAATCAGGAAGAAGTACTCTAAGTGGATAGGACACACATTGAGGAAATCACTCAATTGCGTCACAAGACAAGCTCTCATTTGGAATCCTCAAAGCCAAAGAAGAAGAGGAAGATCAAAGAAGCAAATGGAGAGAAACATGAGAAGAATGAACAGCAATTGTATAGAACATGACAGGAAGGCCCAGGACAGAGTGGGTTGGAGAATGCTGGTCAATTGTCTATGCTCTATTGGGAGTAACAGGCATAAGTAAAGAAGTAAATATGTTATATTGAAACAATATCCCTACCAACACGTTCATTTCAAAACATAATCTTGATTTTCAAATAACAAATGACCACTATAGAAATTAATTGAAAAGATACAAAGCAAAATATTATGACATAAAATTATGCCTTGAATATCCTTTTGACATTTCAACAATATTTAAATCTATTATTTACTTTATATAAAATAAACCTATTTATCATATAAGTGAAATAGAAACTAAAACTATGTATAACCCAAATGAATGAGATCCGACATACATATGTTGATCTACTTTATATTGGTTAATCAAATATATCACTTTTATTATTATTACTTATTGATGTAATCTCGCTATACGAATTCACTTTCGGTTTGTTTATCTAACTTGTTTATTTATTTGGTCGTTGTTCATTTTATAGATTAAATCAATGTCATAGAACATATTCATTTAAAAATATACCGAGAAAATTTAATGATTTATTGTTTGGTTTACAAGATAAAGTAAGTTGATTTATAAAATAATGAAAATATAATTGACATACTACTTATTTCAATTGTAAGTAGTATAAAAAAAATATTTAATTCATATCTCTATTTTAATGTGAAAATTGTGTATTTAAAATAATCTCAGTGATTGAAATTTTTAATTAAAAAAAGTAATTCCAACGTTTCGCCCAACTGGCTTGCCTGGACCTCTTCAGGAGACAACAATCAAGATTACAATTATCAAAGAATGATTGCATAGCGTTTTAACAATCAAATCAAATCAAATCTATACTGTGCTAATTCAATTTATATTTGGATGTTGATTTTAGTAAATAGGATAACATGAATCAGTTACCTGAGAATCATGTGAAAAAGTTCATGATTTGAGTGTAAGATTGAAGGAACACAAACAATGTTTGAAAAATGTGCCCAAATCCTCAGTTGACTTAATGAAACTGGAGAATGAATTTGCGATAGTGTTACATGCGTTAGAAACAGAACACAAGATTAATTTTGAAGGGACAAAAATACTTCAGAAAGGTTTTAAGCATTCATAAGGAAAGATTGACAGCAGAAGTGCTGTATATATGGGCGAACAAGAATAGCCTGAACTAAAAGGATGGTATTCAACTAGAGACTACCTGACAAGTAATTAGACCCTTTTCTTTATCCAGTCTGTTTATTTCACATGCATCGTTACTTTGACTGGAATTTAATGTGAGTCATTTTTGGCAATACAATTATCTAATTGATGAGTCCCATTTTTATTTGCATTTCAATGATTCATAAACAATTTTTTCAACCTTGAACTTGCATTCTTATTTACTTATTCCTTCATATAACACCGAATATCATTCATTCATAACTCATTCTTACACATACATACATACATAAACACACACACATACATAAACACATACACACACGCAAAGAGAGACAACTGATTTTAGTCATATATTTCCACATCGTGGACTTTTCACATGATTCTCATGTAAGTAACTCATGTTATCCTATTTACTGAAGTCAACATCTAAATATGATTGAATTAGCACAGTATATATTTGATTTGATTTTGATTATTCTACTCTGAAGAGGTCCAGACAAATTAGTTGGACAAAACGGAATCATTTTTAAATTTCAATCGCTGAGGTTGTTTCAATTATAATTCTCAATACTTGGCACCCAATTTTTGTCAAACTATTCCTCTTAATCTTGACAAATATTCGTATAAAATATCTATAGTGTCAAAATCAAGAGGTATTTTAAAATGTGTACACAATTGTAATGTTAGTCATTGTAATGTATTTCATATATATAACATTAGGAAAGCCAAGAAGAACTCGCGAGCGGGGTGGTGGATACTCACTGCTGAGGAGTCCCAATATAGGACGAAACGGCCGTCTAGTGCTTTCAGGTTTTCAATGATGGCCTAACATTAATCGGTTCATGATCTCAATCAAAAACATAATTCATTTCTGTTGAGACATCTATATCGTAAGAGAATGTCTTGATATTGTTCATAGATGCAAATTTCATTAAGGATCAAAATTAGTAATTAATGCACATTAACTTGAAACCTCAGAAAAAAATCTCTGAACAGCTACCTTACTAAGTGAAATTCATACACTTACTAATGACTAGCTTTAACATGAATTTCTATCATTTTTTGGTGAAAAAATCCCCCACCAGTATGAAAAAATTAGCCTCATCTAAGATAGACATGCTCGTTACCATGATTGTAGTCATTTCTGATTTTTGGATTATCTTATGGTTGATATCCTTTTAATAAGATAAATAAATAAAAATGATATTTGGTATTTTTTGAAAATCATTCTGGTTTACTAAAGTAACTGTTTATTATAGGAAATGTATGTAAGCTGTTTAATTTATAGTCTATATATATATTTATCGCTTACTTGACTTACGCCTGTTACTCCTAATAGAGCATGGACAGCTGACCAGCATTCTCCAACCCACTCAGTTCTGGGCCTTTCTTTCTATTTCTATCCAATTGTTGTTCATTCTTCTCATGTCTGTCTCCATTTCTCGATGTAATGTGTTCTTTGATCTATCGCTTCCTCTTTGGCCTTGAGGATTCCAAATGAGAGTTTGCTTTGTGACACATTTCGGTACTTTCCTCAATGTGTGTGCTACATATATCACAGATTGACTTTAACTAGACAATCGATGCAAGCCAGGATGCGTTAGAAAGTCAAATCGTCATATAATGGAACTTTTCAATACCGATAAAAATCCCTACTAGGGATCAAGTCTCAGAACTTTACAGAGAACTTATAAATGCTAGTTGTTACACTGACAATCCTAAATTTATATCTTGCATTTTAAAAATATGATTATTTCAAACGTTAATATTCATCTTGATATCTAATTTTGACCTGCATTTATAATGAACTGCTGTAATTATACCAGTGAAATTCCCTTGGTGTTGTTCTACTTGTATCTTCCTACTGTTACTTAAGACAGCAGTTGATCAGTCTCTTGCTGGCGAATGTGCATCCTGTGCGGATTACCACGATATAGGCTTAAAGAATCTCTCCAAACTTCGTACATTTGTACATTGAAAAGTTTCATTTTGTTTCTTTAATTTAGTATGAATAACGTATGATTCATTCTGAACGATGCAAGATGTTGGGTTGAGAATAATTTGTAAAAATGATTGGAAACGTGTTTTCTTTTCATTAACAGCAATCGAATATTCCACTTGGTCTCGAGTCAAAGTCGATCAGAATTATATGGACATTACTTGATATTGCTTAAATAGTGGTAGAAGGCACTTTGTCTATACTTTAAGCTAGATTGAACTCTTCACTAAGTCGTTTCACCAATTTTCAGGGGACTAATAATCCCTACCATGGAGAAATTGTTTGACAACCCTTAATTCTCAAATCTTTATTCACCTATTATTTTTTTAAAAACTATAAATCAAACAGTTATCATCGAATTACATGACTGAATAAACATTTTCGTCATACTGTTGAGTTATTTTGAGATGAATCGATTGAATTAACACTGGTCGGTGTTTTTCGTCCTCTTTACCAAGTTCATTAAATTCATATATTGTAAATTAACTGAGCATATGAAATATGCTCTGTAGGACTTCAATTTAATGGTCGTTAACTATTGCACCATTGACAGACATAAAAAATTCTGCAATTATACTCTGTGAAGTTGTAACAGCTAAAAAGTTAAATTTAATATTTTAAAAAATGTTGCAAACGTTTTTGAGCTACGTCATTCAAGATCGATAATCACGCAAACCCCAACTAGGTAGTCTGCACCTACTTACATAGCTCGCTCCAGATACCAATGACTTCATCCTGTCATCCCGTCTGTCTTTGAACACTAGGATAGGAGGTAACATAAAAGTGTACTGACAAGTATTTGAAGTAATCGTGGAACGTCAGTCAGTTGCAGCATAAACCCGATACGTAAGTACATCGGTCCAATTTGTCATACCACATTAGCACAACGAGATGACATCATTATGGCTATTCCCGAAGTAGTAGAGTTAGTCGCACTTCTGGTAGTAATAGAAAAGATTAAGTATCTAAGATATGATTCAAGAAAATATAAATTAGTGAAATGTAAAAACAATTATGAAGAATTTAGAAACTTAGGATACAAGAGACGATTACGTGAAAATACGCCTAAACCATTATAAACGATTTAAGCCGCGTCATCCAAAGTCTATAACCACTAAATATTATGTTGATTAGTATTTGACGTCAAATATTTTATTACATGTAATAAACATTATAATTTTACCTGTATATATATGACTGGCATACAATAATGTAACATAGAGTAAGAATTAATTTACATAGTAATAAACTCTCGGAAAATTAGGACTGTCAAAGCAGAAAAAAATTATGATCACTTGGCGAATGTACTCATCAAGCAATTATAAACTGGAAGCACGATATCTTCCCCACACAGCAAGTTGGCAAATGCCAATAAAACCTTCTGAATTCCTGCTGAGATTTCTTCAAAAATCAGACCATCAGTGTGGATGAGACTCTCAGGATAAGTGAGGTGGTCGATACGTCCAACTACTTCACTCTCTATGACTAATTCAGGTCAATCCTGAAGCAACATTTTGGATTTGGAGGGTTAGAATCACATCCGAAACATGCTTGTGTCGTTATTCAATGTAGTCAGAAGACTGCATTGTGTCAGCATCAAACAGAACTATATTATCAAGGTATTCGAAGTCAACAAGTGAATCTCCCGATAGGAAAACTCCTGAAAAGGTAAGCAATCAAAGTGTTACTTCTAATAACATGTCAATGACAAGTTGGATAAAAATGGAAGAAGCAGATGACCCTGATAGTTCTTCACAAGCTCTGACTCAACTAGAAATGTTCGAGAAGAGAGCCTGTATGATGTCAATGTACTTTTTGGGATGTCTTTCAATGATAGACACCGCCACAGAACCTCACGATCTTCGTAGTTGAACTCCGTATTAAGGTCAAGAAATATAACTATAATCGGATATCGAAAAGTATGTCTGTTTCAGAACCTGGTGAAGGGTGAATACTCGGTCTATACATACTCGTTTACGTCTGAAACCAGCCTGGTTTTCTCGGGTTTGCTCCTCACGAGCTCTAATTAGACGTCGAAGTATTAACGAGACTAGTACTTTAGACATCTTAGTTAAACAGATTCTTCTGTGATTGTCACAAGAGGATTTTTGTCCCTTCTTATAAACTGAGATGATCAGCGATCGAGACCAGTTAGATGAGATCTCATGCAGTTCCAGATTTTAGCCAAGATCTCAGTAAATCCATCAGGCATTGACTCTCTCTCTCTTGAGTTAGATTACCTACAGAGTTTGCAACTTCATTGCTTTATAACGGTGGGTAACAGAGACGTGGTTGAAGGCCAGTTCAACTGTCCACTAAGACATTCTGACGACCAGTCCAACCACCTGGATTAAAAGTAAATAATACTGTAATTATTTTTCAAGATAGTCTCACTAACAGCCAAATTTTTAATTCCGGTTTCCTAGACAAGCCTGAACAGTTGATTATTGTTACCCGTCACCACTGCCTTTTCCATCTCTACTGCCGTCGCTACTCACCACTCATCTAGAACTGTTGAGTAGGCTTTTTCCAGCCTGAGACCAAGCTGCCTCCACTTATCATCGCGTTCGGAGCCAGATGTGATGCGTTGTTGAGTATCTATCGGTTCAGTAGATCCCACTAACATCCACTGATTGTTTCTAACCTTTTGGTTTAGGTTAGTGGTAGCTATCATTGTCGTTCTCCACAGCTTTTGAATATAACGACAAGGTACCTCGTGATTTATATCACTTTTACCGTTGATTAACTCTTTTAGATGTTCCTGAAATATATTCTTAGATTTTTCATCATAGAATTGAACTGTCAGTGGTTCTCTTGTCGTGGCTTTTGTGCGTCCAGTAAGATGCGAAGAAAACGTACTCAAGCTAAAGAATGATTTAAGCCTAAACATGTGCTCCAGAATGAACGACAGTCTTTTTTCGAGCCTTCTCAGCGATGGATGATGGCAATGTGGTCCATTTGAGCATATCGTTACATCGATTTTGAGGCTTGCCCCGTCAGGCGACGTTTCTTTTTACATTTAAAGTTAGTTATCTGAATATAGGTATCATTACCAAGGTTTGACTTGATTATTTCGAATATTTTCAATAGTTGAGATCATGAGTCAATAGAATCTAGACCACCATAGAAAGCCTGGAAGCACTGGACGTCCGTTTTGTCCTATTGTGTGACTCCTCAGAGGTGCGCATCCACTATCCCACCTCGCGAAATTCGAACCCAGGATCTATCGGTCTTCAGGATTTCCATGGTGGTCTAGCTTTACTTGACTCATAAATTCAACTATTGAAATTACCATAAAATCCACAGTGAGACGAAAACGTAATTACAAAACTTCAACTAGTTTAGATATTTCCACAATCATTACAATAAACTGACCTTAGTTTAATAGTCTTTGGGAACCAGGGAGTACTAGACAGGTGCTTCGACCTAGCAGAAGTAAACACCCACGACCATACTGGATCGTACAGAAAACTCTCAAGTTCTTCACTTGAACTCTAGACAAAGAAGCCACAATCCAATGATTTACATATGTAATCTCAATCAGTTTTTATTACTTCAAATCAAGGAATATTTATGATGGTTATTTCAAATGATATTTCTTATCCCGATTTCAGAATTTGTGTTTAGCTCCCGGCCAGTATAACCCTTATGGTGAAGAGCAGATTAAAAAAACACAGTTGCCTTCATATCACAGTGTATTTAAATCAAAATACCCCAGATCTGTTTCAAGTCAAAAGCAAGTACGTCATAAAAAACACTAACAAAAATTTTCCCTTGTGTGAAGTTACATTTTTTCTCTCAGAATAACTGGATATCATGTATGAGTTATGATTAAATTCATTAAGAAATGATGGGTTGAATACAAATGCACTATTAGTATCTTTTCAAATGTATAGCACTTCAATATCAAAATGGTTGACCCTTTTCAGCAAGGCTTTTTAAATATCTTGAGAAAAGAGATTTTTCCAGTAACTGAAACCCTTATATTTAATGATCTACTAGGATGCTGGGTACCTGTGTGGGTTGCATCACAGGACTGAATTGTGTTATTCGGATTGTAATGCTAAGGCCTGAATAGTATCTGGTTCTTCCGAAAACCGACATAAAATTATTCTCGTCCAAAAGGGTATATTGTATAATTGTGAATATTATCACACTCATATGTACACCAATTGATAACTGATTGGTAATCTATATCATATTTGTCTAGTCATTAATGGGGATTTGGTTCTATCAATAAAATTGTAATATAGTCGGTACATCGAGTTAGTACATAGTACGTGTCTTACGTGTTGATGTGACTTAGCGCCCTGAACAATTCAGACATGGATTCCTTATGTGTCAACTTATCTGCATGACTTCTTTCCACTTCCCATTAATTATTTCATGGTCATATAGATTACTAGTGACCTTTAATCAGGTGTTTGTTGTCGTAATTAAGTTTTAAGATAAAAAGAGATAGTTGTACTTTTGAAATAAATAATAGGTAAAACTTCAAAGCTATTATAGATAACATAAATTATGATCAGTATTGTGAGTTAGGATTGATAAGAAATTCAGTCGACTATCGACGATAGAATGTTCAAACTCCTCGTTAATACTGATTGGTATAAAGATGATACCCGTTGCAGAAGTTTCGGGCTACCTAAACTTAGTAGCTTAATGAATAACCCGTTAGGTTCGAGTCCCAGAGTGAACATAAACACTGGAATTCAGGTAAATCCACCTAATAAATTTCCTGGATCCCACTATTGGCTATAATTCATCTATTTGAAACAACTTTACGTTCGGAGTAAAAATGTAGCATAAGCTTAAATTGTTTCAACTAATTTTTATTCTTTAATCTAAAACACTTTTTAAGAGTCCAAGTTTTCATACCTGTAAATTGATCAGAAAATTCTGATTTATATTTTTATAAAACGTTAAAATGTAAACATTGATGATAAGTACAATGCGTATGAGAACGTTTAACAAATTTCAAAGTAAAGTAAATTACTTTTATCTATGTCAGAAGGGTATTTTGTGGATACTATAGTAATTTCAATAGTTGAAATCATGAGTCAACTGAAGGTAGAACAACATGGAAAACGTGGAAGCAATGAACGGCTGTTTCGTCCTATTATGGAACTCCTCAGCAATGCGCATCTACGATCCCGCCTAACGAGATTCCAATCAAGAACCTATTAGTCTCGCGCGCAAACGCTCAACCAATAGACCACTGAGCTCACCTGCATCAATGGTGTTAATTTCTAACTTCAACTAATCCACGAAATTGAGTGACACATTCACCATTGTATTTAGTGAGTTACTATCTCACAACAGACCAGGTTGAACTCCACTAATCACTGCTTCCCACTAGAACTCCATGAAATGCCTCTTGAAATCAGTCACTAGTGAGCAATATCAGAATGGGAGTTTTGTGTGGCGTTGTTTTAAATGAAATGAAGAAAATGTATATTTTTTTACATATAAAATACATTCCCACTAATGTTTTAACTTTTTTAATGTTAGAATTTACAGAAGCGCACAGTGGTATGAGTCTGAGTAGAACACGTGTTTCGTAAACAGTGTAGGTTATCTGACTAGTGGGTAGAGATCATCTTCAGTTATATAATGTTTAGTATAATGAATTGTGATAAAGAGTAACACAGATTAATGATTATCTTATAAATTTGTTACTTAGATTTATCTCAAAGTTAATGATAAGAAAACAATACTGCTAGGATGATACATCAGTCTCGGATTTTAGATATTATCCAACAATCATCTGAATTTCACTAGTATGAATGCTAACTCTTGAGAACTGTTTATGGAACAATAGGATATATACATGTTAACTGCATTATTATTAAGTAGCTAAGCTATTCACATTTATGTTCCTCCTATTTAAAGCTTTATCTCGAGGTATAGACAAGTATAATACAATTTACCGTTCTAGAGTTCGGTCCAGTCTATTAATTACAGTCTTCCACATCCACAGCCACTTTTGGCTGTCATTTTCAATTTAATGGAGTAATGTTAGCTGTTTGGTTTGTATATAAATCCAGTGTGTTTGAAATAAACGATTCATATCACAGTGGCTGAGAATAGTGTTCTTGACTCAATAGGTAGGCAAGGTTAGGCAGCAAGAACGATAGATAAAGACTCTAGACTGTTCGTACAGGTTTTTATGTGTCATTGATCCGGTCGATAAGGCACTGTTCTCTAATTGACAATATCATTACCTTATATAATACATAAGACACAAAACCACAAGATATAACCCATTTAACAATAGTTTAAATGAGATAATATTTTATTCATGTAATGTGAGTAAAACTAATTGAATAAATCATACATCATAATCATAATGGATTCTTATGATTCAACATGCAATGAACATTATTTAATTTAATTTCTATTTCTATTTTTTTTAAAAAAACACAACAACAAGAGGTTTGATTTATCAATTTATTACTATGGGCCAACACCTAAACAGGTGTAAGTTTTAAATGTTACTTTGACATTAAAATACCACACCTTTTATCATAGTTATAACTGATTTCAAGTAATTTCTATGTTAATCCACTTGTAATATGATATACATGTAAATAAATGAATATTTAATATGAAATAGAATAACTTCCTAGTTCTACAGTCATTACAATGATATGTTCTCGTGATATCATATTGGATTGAAACTGAAATGTTGAAATCTTATAACATTTATGATATAGATCAAAATCTGAACGAAATTAGGATCATCCCTAACATTGTTGCTACCTTGAACTGGTGGTCAAGCATGCCTATCGTGATGAAGCAACCGGGCTGTACTGGCTGGAACTACCGTTCATCAAAGTCCTACTATACCAGACAGGTCGGTTTAAGAGCGGTAAGACTAAAAGCAACAAACCCAACGTCCGAAGGCGAAGTCGTACTTCTGACTGTACAGAGGTATGACAGTAGTGTGTTTCCTTGAGACAACCAGCATAACAGCGATGCTGCCTTCCCACAAGGAAGGATGAGGTTAGAAAAGGTCGACCCTAAAAATACACACTTTGTTTTATCCCATCGTTATCCATCTTCGGCGGTAAGATCTCAAAAGTGCGAAAATTACTCATAAAAGGGTCGTGTGTGACCGACCTCAAGCAGTTGTCCCTTGGGAACTGCGGTCACGTTCCCAGGTCACTAAAACCACCTATAATCCAATTTCCTTTCCAGGTACCTCCAGAACAACCCTTCCATGGTGTGGGCAACCGGGAAGTGATAACCGCCCTCATACCTTTAACAGCACTCAAGACCACTGTATTCATAATCAACCTCCCTCTTCATTTCTTCATATTCACTGATATATATATATATATATATATATATATATATATATATATAGAGAGAGAGAGAGAGAGAGAGAGAGAGAGAGTTAAACTACGATAAAATATCTTAGTGTTCTTCAGTTTTAAGCAATTTTATAGCTGTAATTAATTCATTTTTAAAGTGGACTTCATGCAAAATTATGTTTCTCAGATTTAACTTGGGACTCTAGTGTGGACTATAGAGTTACTGAATAAATTAAATTCATTTCTCTTGAAAAATTCACATCAAATCTTTGAAAAGTTCTTTAGGCCTCAACTCTTAGTTTGACAAATGAACTACAAAGAAGATCAAATGCTTATTTAAAGATTAAAGTCGATATTGGTCAACTGCACAGTCCAAATTATCTTCAACATGTTACTGTGTTCAAATCTGATAGGATTTCTGAGTTCTAATGAATCTTTAACATCCTGAATTATAGATATATTCAATTACCTAATTGCTTATGCCTGTTACTCCTCGTGGAGGAGCATAGGTCGCTTACCAACACTTTCCACTCAACCCTGCCCTGGGCAATCCTCTCCAGCTCTTTCCAGTTGCCATTCATCCTCTTCATATTTGCTTCTATTTCCCGATGCAATATTTTCTTTGGCCTTCCACTTATCTGCTTCCGTTCAGGATTCCAAGTTAGGGCTTACCTCGTGATGCAGTTTTGTGATTTCCGCAATGTATATCCTATTCATTTCCGTCGTCTTTTTTTAATTTCCTTTTCAGCCGGAAACTGATTTTTTTTTCTCCCAGAGAAGGCTGTTGCTGATGGTATCTGGCCAATATTATATATATTTACTCTATTGATAATAACTAACGATTTCTATCTAGGTGGTCAAAATTAACGTAATGATGTCGCGTAGTTCTGTTGGTTGCTCGTAAAGCACACTTGACAGATGAAATTCCCTCACTCAATACTTTCTAATTCTAAGATCAAATAGCTTTATTTAACCTTATTCAACTACTTAAAATGGGCTTTTTTTCACCTTAAAAGGATAGTTAAACACTCATTCCACTTCGATTAGCTAAACGAAAATGTATTCTTTGTATTATTTTATTCTTAAGGATAATGTGCCTCCACCAGGTGCTTACAATTTGTCATTTAATGAAACATTTGGAATAATCTCTCCATTTGTATCACAGGTACCCAGATTTAAACGTTCAAAATCGGTAGGTATTAGTTGTTTCAAGCATGTAATCATTCTTGATATATATAAATATCAATGTCAGAAGAACTAAAATATTTTTGAATCAGTGGTTTATATCTATATTTTTTATTGTGCATACAAGAATATCATCCGAATACTGAGCTGGAAGCAAACCAATTAAAGGAACTAGCTGTTCACAACCACCTGGAACGATGAACAAAATAAATACTGCTTAGTATCATAAACATTGAACGCTTTGAGATCGACTGTGATTCTGTAGTCCGGTGGATGTGGAGCTGGTTTTTTCAAGAATTACAAGGATTTAGTACCGTGGTGAAAATGAAGTTTCGAATCGAAATGCAAATATTTGATTGCACAAACAGGCACTGAAGTACTCATTCATTGAATAGCTAAAAACACTGATCTTAAATGTATAGCAGTGGCTACTATTGTCATGAATCTCTGAGGTTAAGCGCGTTTTTTTGTTGTAACTGTCAACGTACTTTACGATTGAATTTCAACATCTGAAGATTTCGATAGTAGCTTTTCCTAACCACGAAGGGAGGTGTTCACTAACTCTTTGGTTCAGTTGCCTGGTAGTGAGCCCTAATATAGCTTTCTTCACAGGAGCAGCTGAATTCGTAGATACACACAGAAGTGGCATAACCAGGTAACTTATCCTTCAGTTAGGAAATCACCATAGATCAGGTCGAATACGATAGACAGAGGTTGACTGCATTAAACGTTCTCTTCACTGCTCTAGTCAGTCTATCACGTAGTACAGCATCGGCTACATCGCCATTAAATTGCAGCTTCAAGAAGAGAAGATTCTTACTAGACGTTGATGTCGCTATTTTCCTATTTGTTACACGCAGGTGTTTCTTCAGAAAACTCTGTAGATAATCCATTTCAATCAACACATTATGTATGACCTCTAATTCCTTATTAGTTGTATCGACTGATCATATCTTACTAGCTCTATTATTTCACTGAAATCTATCAGTAGTTTTATCCACTTAGCACATAAGTGTGTACTTTATTATGATTTCATCTTCTATTTATACTCGATGTACGAAATCAATGAATACATTTTGTTGTCGACAAATCCTATCATTATAAGATATTATGTTGACATTGTCAAGAAAGTAACCGACTATTATTTTAAATAATAACTAACAATTTTTCAGATAAGGATCCGACGATTATTCTAATGTTTTGCAAATATTAGTTATTTTAATGGTTGAGATCATGAGTCAATTGAAGCTAGATCACCATCCACCATTCTGATATTGATCAACATATGCTCACTAGTGACTGATTTCAAGAGGCATTTCATGGAGTTCTAGTGGGAAGCAGTGATTAGTGGAGTTCAACCTGGTCTGTTGTGAGATAGTAACTCACTAAATACAATGGTGAATGTGTCACTCAATTTCGCGGATTAGTTGAAGTTAGAAATTAACACCATTGATGCAGGTGAGCTCAGTGGTCTATTGGTTGAGCGTTTGCGCGCGAGACTAATAGGTTCTTGATTGGAATCTCGTTAGGCGGGATCGTAGATGCGCATTGCTGAGGAGTTCCATAATAGGACGAAACAGCCGTTCATTGCTTCCACGTTTTCCATGTTGTTCTACCTTCAGTTGACTCATGATTTCAACTATTGGAATTACTATAATATCCACAAAACCCTTTGTAATAAAAATTAGTTAAATTATTGTTTTATTATCATGTATTTAAAAACAAATTTCAGTTTGTCCCAGGTCCTGGTACGTATAATATCAATTGAGTAACATAATATAATAAACAACTAAGTAAAATGGATACATATTATGCATTATTCATTCGTGATTATGGTGTTGACAATGACACTACAAATAAATGAAAAGATTATGAAAATGTTCTTTTGAAATACAAATTTTAATGGGATAATTTGGGATTTAATAAAATTTAATTGAATGTTTGTGATTTGTTTTTAATTATAAATCTGATTCAGTAAGAGAAATATTGTTTGTATAATAAATAAGTCCAGTAGTGTCCTGTAAATCTTCTTCATGAGATCAATAAGAATTCAGACAGTCTAAACAGTCTTTCTAAAACAGTTCTAAACTCTTCAACAATATGGAAACTGAATATTATGTGAAATTAAATTTGGAATTAAAATCATAGTCCAAAGGTTTATATTTTCAACTTCGATAGGTTCATATTAAAATGAGATGGTCATCATTTATTAATAACAATGACTGTTAGAGCTCTGACATACCCGAACGTCATCGCTTACAGCTTATCACTAGAAATACGGGAACACCTACCTCAAGTTCCATATTGATGAGTATTAGTAAACCAATTAAGTCGACTAATTACTAAGTTTTCGTCACAAGGCCTGAATATTTAGAGATTAATCATGGATGAAATACTAGGTCTTCACAGCTGAGGCGTCTCATACTAATATGAACAAACTGTCTATCGAGCCTTGAATTTTGGTGTCTGATCATCTACTTGGATTTGGATTATCTGTTTTGACAGATTACAGAGCGATAGATATTTTCATCTTGTTCAGTTCACTTAGATAACGGAGCACTGTTGTTCGAAGAAATATAAACATATAAAATTAAAGAAGGATAAATATAGTTCAGCAAAGAAAGTTTTTGACTGTACAATCGTATTTATAAACCGGAGAGCCCAATATGACCTATGGTGGGCTATACAAACACACCTACATATGCATTATCTAAATATCTGAGCAGTGTATAAAAGCCATTTCAAAACAGATAACATAATGTAATTAATGATTCCTATGACTTTACGTCAAAAATATCAGAATTAATAATGGAAAAAAGATGAAACACTGGTAAGCTATGATGTTGTATCTCTATGCACTAGTATTCGTATTGACAGATGCCTAAACTTTATCAACGGTTTACTAGAGAATGATCATACTTTATTTAACAGATGTCTTTTAAGCATCAGTCTTATCATGAAATCTCTTACACCAACAAAAAGAAGTAGCTACAAGATCCTCCGTGTACCTGATTGTAGCCAGCCTGTTTATGCCACATATATAATCAAATATTTCGCCAATGAAATCAAACCACGATTCGAAGTCAAGCAAATAGATGAAACTTTTTTCGCCATGACAAAGACTCTACTATGACACTTTTCTAAACTGCTCAATACTTTCTCTTATTACATTACGTTCAATCATGGAAATGACCAAGATGAGCTGCCATGTTTAGATTGCTTGATTAAAAAAGATTTAAGTGAACTATAAATCTAACTATTACCGAAAACCAACAAACTCTAATCGTTATATTGACTTCAATTCAGCACATAGTTTCAGTACAAAAATCTCTCTTGGCCTATATCTCTTTAGAATAGTGACTATGATCATTAACATCTGATGAGGATAAACACGAAGAAAAGTGGGATAATAATTAACATGTGACAATTTAATAATTTTTCTATAAACATTATTAAAAGTGTAATAAAACGGGAGAATTTAAGGTTGCGTAGCAGTCCAAGTGAAATACTATGGTTTTATGCCGTAGTTCTACCATACTGCCATGATACAACTGAAAAAATTCAAAGTCTCGAAGCAACATAGAACTAAAGCATGCTACAAAACAACTAATACTCTTTGAAATGCTGTGGTTCGTATAATGGTTAAAATAATAATGATAATGATATATATAGAATAACTTGACTGGATGTAACGGATAGTTTATTAGGTATTTTGAGGAAGAAGAAGAATAAAAAAGAAAAGATTATGTTTAGTTTGAGTATCCTCTTCCATAAAGGGTCAAGTTCAAGTTTATTATATCTGGACTTACAATTCAAGGTACAATCAGTTCCAAGAATCCGAATTTTAAATCGCCCGTGTAAGGATTCCAACCTTAATTTATCCCTTATGCGCACACTACAAAGAATAACCCTGCAGTATTCTAGGAGTGGTCGAACACGTTATTTGTACATCAAAATACGTGACTCCTTGTTATAGAGGTTTAGAATTATGCAACCCATAAGACGTTGGGACTCGGAGGTATGTTTCGAGACGTGTTCTTTTAAGGGGCAAATCGTAAGAGTACCTAGGTGATAAGTCTATTACTGGTTGTAAATTAGACAGCACCTTACCATTTATTGTAAGATCCAAGTTGAGTAATGTATTACTGAAGCACATTCACCTATATTAAGCGATGGTAATCTCCACCTCATATTTTGCGCACCACTGAGCCACTTTGGTGAGCTCTATAGTGATGCAATTTTGCATATCGGTCAGCTCATGAGGAAGAAATGAATACGCTGCCTAAAGATCATCTGCATACGGAAGGGGCCTACTGATGTATGTGAGCGGGAATGATAATGATTGGTTGTTTGCTTAGTCAGACATGTAGATAGTGTTAGGTGAGTTATGTGTTCCCCTATCCTTATTATTAACTATTATTGATTTTTGATTGCTGTTGGATTGTGTCGAGTTCTGGTGTGGAAATATATTTACGTTCTAGTCAGGCGAATCACGTGTTCTTGATCTGAGTTGTGTTCAAGTCCTATAGAATAGACACTAGGAGAGAATCTAATTTAGATATTCATCTAAGGCAAATTAACCTCCCGTTCGTGTAAACGTGGAAAACCGAGCGTTATAACACTTTCGGACCCCATAATATGCGAGTTTGTCCATAAGAAGCTGGTGGTTCACTAAGTCGAAGGCTTTAGAAATGTCAAAGTACAACACCAGAAATAAATATTCTTGGTTACGTTGAGAAAAGACTAAATTAAAGAAGTTAAAGTGGTATGTCATACAAGATCCATCTTTAGGAAATCCATGTTCAGAATCATGGATAAATTTTCCAGGGAGTAAATAGTTGGAGAGTTCGTCACTAACAATTTTTTTCCATAATGCTAGAGAGCCCTGAAGTAATATTTGTGAGCCGATAAGAGTTCATTTCAATCTTACCTCCAAATTTATAACGTGGTATGATATACGAGATTTTCCAACAGTAAGGGTAAGCACCTGTTTCCAGAGAGAGGGTAAACAGCTTTAGGAAAAGTAGTGGAATATCTGAACGACCATATTTGTAGAGAAAGGATGAAATCCCGTCTACTCCATGACCACTCGAAAACTTAAGGGAGTTTATAGCCTTACTAATCTTTAGGCATATGAAGGAGATAGATTATATCGAGTTACTAGTCAAATACATGACTTTTGTAACAGTGTCATTTACGAATTCTTTATCATGCGCAAAAATGCCACTGAAAGAGTCTGCTATGGTTTTAAAGTCATATAAAAATTGCCATTGTGTAGGATGCATATTATATCAACATTTTGAGTTGCTTTAACGCGTTTATTGAAAAGGAAAATCAAGTTTTGTACTTTTGAGTGAGTATTAAGTGCTAACGACCCCTCATTGTTTGCTTTTAATCTTTGTTTCTTTTAATTCGGTTAAAAATTATTTTTATTTGTGCAACTGCCGTGAAATCGTTTGAATCGAAATAACGTTTCTGTAGGCGTCTTGATTTACTATGATATTTAGCTGGTATAAGTAATTTGTTAGGTTTACTAAACCTGTAGGTTTTAAGGGGTGGGTAGGAATCTAAACAAGAGTTCGCAGTTAGATAGGACGTGTCAATGGTATCCACGAGACTGTTACATGAGAAGAAGGTACCCTAGTCCGAGAATTTAACCAGTGAGCTCAAAAGGTCCCAGTCAGCATGCTTATAGTATGAGTTGGTTATAAGAGGGATAGAGAGGGAGAGTACAACCCCCTTTTTTACGGTCACAGCTTTCAAATTCATCGTGTACTTGTACAGATAATGGGATGATATATCAACTAAATATTAAATCACCTATATTACCGCGGATTGTTGAGGTATGAACCCAATGTGTACAACAGTACAGGTTAATGGTTGTTGAGAACTCATCATTACATGACTGATAACTATCGGTATTCCAGTTTATTCTAGGGTAATTGAAATCTGTAATAACCTTAGCATTATAGTTTAGAGCAGATGCATGTATAAATTCACTGATAATAGCATTATTCACATTATCCGAACTATCGGGAGCTCTTCATATACATCCGAGGAGTAGACTATGATTCAGGGAGTTGATTTATATCCAGACGGATTCAGGTAAACTAATCAGGACACTGTCTTCAACTTTGTATAAGACAACCACCTTCTCACTCAATTTCTCTGTTACAGCTATAGAGTCAGTAGTTCCGGATATTTAATTCTGAACCGGACACTGAGTGAGAGCATCATGATTCAGTGACACGTTTGAAAGAAGACTTTGTTAGTAAAGCTTTATGATACGCGACTGAGTCTACAAATTCGAGTGTGATGATTATGATGCCTTCTATGTTGGAGTTTCATCTGGTGAAATCTTAACTCACGTTAAAGAACATCAAAGCTACACAAATAAACCATCTAATAATCCTGTAGAACCTAAAATACTCCAAATTTGATCATCAATAACATTGGAGGGCATCTTCAATAACCACCAAGTCGATACCAAAAATATCAAAATAATACAAAAAAGCTTTCACAACTACAAAGAAAGGAGAATAGCTAAACTTTTCTATATATTGCTAAATCCTACTCCCATTAATAGAATTAAAGCCATTACTATCTATTTGACTTGGATCATCTATCCGAGTTATGTCTGATGCTATTCACACCACACCATTATCATACCAATCCAGGTCTACCATTTCACACTATAAATGTCAAATTTTCCACTCAATAACACACACACAAACATGTCTCATTTGAACTACGTTGACCAGAGTGACG